ATAATTATGAACTAGTACCATATGACCACGGTATTATAATTTATAAATTATATTAAAAATAAGTAGAAATTTAAGTAATTTGGGGTAATTTTTAAATTATGCGGGCAACTGGTTAATTACCGAGTAACAGAACATTACTCAGTTAACTAATAAGTGAGTAAAGATTAATAATCTTCACCACACTCCCCACGTAGCAGTAGGCCACTATTCAAGCATATGACTAATTAGTCATATAAGCTTAGTAGGCCCAAAACGTGTAAACCACTGAAAACTTATAAGAAATGTTTGGTCATTTTCAAAGCTTGGTCATTTAAAGGCTTGGTCCTTTGAAGCTTCGTTCATTTTAGTCAGAATGAAATTTAATTCTTGCTTCCTAAATTCAACTCTCCAAGAACAGGCGCCAAGTTTCAAATTCTCCAACGGAAATTCTTGCAAACAGTTATAACAAGAATTGATTAAAACCATAGCAAAGTAAAATTTTGCGGTTCTAGTACGGTGCAATCTTCTCCAACAATATTATACGGAATTTTCCCTACTCCAGGTATGTTAAGGCCATCCCTTCTTTCTTTTGGCATGACCCAAATTATACAAAAGAGATGGGTAAACGCACAGTTTCCATAAATTATTCTATTCATAGAGATACTAGGGGTGTCTATATTCTTGATTCCCCATGAGAATTATTATTATCTTCTATTCATTGGTCTCAGAATAATACGCAGTTGAAAAAGGTTATCCGGAAGGAATATTGAGATTATTACGTATTTTTCATGCATTTCACCCACTGATACATGTGCATTGACCCATGACCAGATGGCGTTATATACGTGTATATATGTAAATATATGTATATGGGATATGGAAAAGGTTACGACGTTATATACGCACCACCACCTGATCAGTTGATATATGTTGATGATGTTGTCCACAGTGGCCGAGAAGATATGATGGGATTCCCTTAGTGGCTTGATGATATTATGTACACCCATACTTATGCACGACACGATATTTATACGCATGTGCATGACATTTTTAATGTTTCAGAATTTACAAAGTTATTTAGATTTAAAGATGTGTGTCTTTATTCCATGTTTTATCTATGTTTTTACGTACTAATTTTTATGCCTTACTTACTAGTACATTTTTCGTACTGATGACTATTTCATGGGGGCTGCATTTTATGCCCGCAGGTGCAGGTAGGCAAGCTGACGGTCCCCCTTCTTAGGATCCCTGATCAGCGAGAGTTAGCGTACTCCACTTGATCCGGAGCTACTTTTGATTTTGGTACGATATGTTTTTATATATACATGGGTATGACGTGGCTCAGTCCCTTCTTTGTAAAGTTATGTTTCTATTAGAGGTCTGTAGATAGTATGTCTAGTTGGGTTGTATGTGGTATTGTCGACTTTCAGTTTTGATGTATAGTTGCCTATAGTAGCCTTGCCGGATCGCCCACTGTATTCTGCATGTATATGTACACATGCCTTGTTGGCAGGTTTTCTTCATATATGTTATTTTCGTAATTAAGCAAATGTTATTCAGGTTCATATCTTAGATGCATGCTTAGGGGTGTTTGACAGGTAGGACTCAGGCACCCGTCGTGGCCCATCGGTTTGGGTCGTGACAATAGTGCCTAAAGAGCAACGTATAGTAAAACTCCCTGGATCTCCACACTTTTGTGGGAGTTTATTTTGTAAGATTGCACTACAATGCTCTTTGAGATTTACCACTGAGGTCTCTTCTATATTTGTCTTCTTTGTCAGGATCTCCTTCAAGAATTTGGCATAAGCTGGCATTTGTAAGAGCATTTATGTGAATGGTAGGTTCATATTAACTTGTTTCAGCATATCAAGAAATTTCTCAAACTGCTTGTCCAGCTTTTCTCTATGTAGCTTCTGGGGGAATGGTAAAGCAGGCATATGCTTGCTCTCTTCATGTTCCTCCCTTCTCGAATTCTCTTCTTTCTTCTTTTTCTCAGCTCCCTTCTTGTCTTTCTTCTTCTTATCAATATCAATTTTCAGTTGCTCCCCACTTCCTTTTTCAGGTTCCATATCTTTTTGGACTGGGGTGGGCTCTTTCAACACTTGCCCACTTCTCAGGGTTATAACATTCACTGTTTCTTTGGGGTTTCTCTCTATATCAGTGGGCGGGGTACCTGGGAGTCTCCCAGATAATATTGTTGTAATTTGCCCCCCTTCCTTCTCTAGATTTCGAATTGCTACCCCTTGTACTTCAAATCTTTCATCAGTTTTCATAGTAAAGGCCTTCATGAGATCTTCTAGACCAGGCTGAGTGGGATATTGAGGTTGAAACTGCTGCCTCTGCTGATTCACAAAACCAGAGCTCCTTGTCCTTAAAATCTGGGGTTGTTTTGTTGCCATGCATTTGCAGTAGCCCCAGGTGAACTCCATGAAAAATCGGGGTGCTTCTGACCCATTGCATTGAAGTTATAATTCCCCACAACATTCACTTCCTCAGTTAAGGCTTGACACTCATGAGTAGGGTGTCCTCTTTCACATATGTCACAAGCTGCATGAGGTTCACTATGTATGGTGGCTAAGGTTAGCTTTCGTATTTCTTTGGCCATAGCATCAAGTTGTACCTGCATAGAAGTATTAGCATCAACTTGGTGCAAACCAGTTGATCTTCTTCTTTTAGCGCTCTCAGAGGGCCACTGATTTGCATCTTCAGATAACTCATCAAGAATTGTAACTATCTCCTCTGGATTCTTCTTCATCAAAGGGCCTCCAACTGCATTGTTCAATGTTCTACGTGAGGCCAGTGTCAATCCATCCCAAAAGTCCTGGAGTTGCATCCAGAGTTCAATTCCGCTATGTTGACACTTTTGCACTATCTCCTTAAACCTTTCCCATGCTTCAAACACGGTTTCAGTCTCTTTCTGGAAGAAGTTATGGATTTCTTTTCTAAACTCGCTCGTCTTAGCTGAGGAGAAATATTTATCAAGAAATTTTCTGGTCATCTCCTCCCATGTTCTAATCGATTCCTAGGACAAGCTTCCAAGCCACTGCTTTGCTTCATCTTTGAGTGTGAAGGGGAATGCTCTTAAGTAAACTGCATCTTGTGACACACTATTGTATTGAAATGTGTTCATAATCTCCTCGAAGTCTATTAGATGATTGTTTGGATTTTCATTCATATTTCCTCAGAAGACACAGCAGTTCTGAAGGGTTTGAAGCAACCCTTGCTTCAACTCAAAAGTGTTAGCTGCAATTGGAGGTGGTCTAACACTTGATAGTCCTTGGTTGTAGACCGGTCTAGCATAATCGCCAAGTGATCTCCCAGTCCCAGGAGCTATATTTCCAAACTGATCTGCAACCAAGGGTTGATTTTGAGCAATTCTCTAACCCCTCTCTTCTTCATAGACTTCTTCTACAGCTCAAATAGCTTCTTCCTCAGCATTCCATGTAGCCTTTTTCTCTTTGTTGGGCTGCTTCTCTTGCAGCCAAATCCACATTTTCATCATCACCGATTCCAGCCATAGTTTCTTTGGTTGAGGATTGCCCAACCTTTTCTAACTTCTCAGTGAGATTTCTTTCCTTCCTCAGCTGTCGCAATTGTTTTTTATCTCGGGCTCGTATGGTTGCACTTTTTTCACAGAAGCTCGAGTCATGCACCAATCTAAACCTGCAACCTGCGCACAGTCAAAGAACACCAACGCCCGGCAATGACGCCAAAAATTGACGGGTGCAAAACAACACTTATAATTATGCTCGATAATCAAATATAGTATAGTATAATATTATATCCACAGGGATTGGAGTTAAACAATATTTTCGTAGTTTCTAGTTTAATTGCCATCCAAGATGATCAAAAGTTGAGTTTGATGTGATTAGTACTAAAATTAACTAAGAATTTAAAGCTATTGACTAATGACAATCGACGTAAGGAATAAGAAAAGAAAGATATCAATGGAGAAGATAAGGTTTTGATAGGATAGGTGCAAGATAATTGTTTGGGATCTAACTCTAGATAATTCACTTCTAATGTTCAATTGAGTCTCTCGAATTCACTCAATTATTAGTTCAAATGTTTAGTAGAAACACCTCTTTCGATTAAGTCTCAACCTCTCAAGATTAACCAATTTAAGCTCTGTAAACATATGCAAGAATGCGTAGTGGATTGGTCATTCGGAGAACCTCTCTCGATTATCCGCCTAACTAGGTTCAATCAACAATTCAACTAGCCTCTTCCGATTACTAAGAAGAATTAATGAATTCAACCAACAAAATAATGCAAAGATATCAGAAGTTATGCCTCTCTCGATTACATGAACCAGTGAATATAGATGCAACAATTAAATCACCCAAAACGATTCAATATATAAAACTAGAGTTATAATCCACAAACAAATATCAATACACCAAATCCATCAAACCCTAAAGAGAACTACTCCATAGATAAGGAGCAATTCATCACATATATGTTTAAGTTAAAGGAAAACATAAAACGATCCAAACTCGAGTCTTGAGTGAGGATTGAATGATGAAATCCTTGTGTTTTTGCTTCTCCCACTCCTCCTTACCATCCTTAGTTCTAAAATATGTCAAAAGTCCATAAAATAAAGTTTTTCCATGTATTTATACCAAGTAGGGTCGGACCCAGATGAAACCACCTTCTCCTAGCCGAAATAGGACATTGGCTCTGTAAAAATTACATAGGCGCGCCGCATCATGCGGGGCATTAGTGGGGAAATCCAGAGAGCTCAACTTCTATCAGGTAGCCAAAAATACACTACGGCCTCGCACTATGCGTCGCATCATTGCAAATTTCTTAGAGTTTGCTTTTTGCTCGATTTTTGAAGTCCAGATGTAGTTCTCGACCCCGAACGCGATCTCGGCTTAATCCTTTGGACTTTTACTCAGACTTCAAAGATCCAGATAGCTCGAATTAGTTCCACAACATCTACATAGCTCGGAATCACTCCTACAAGGCATAAAATACACAATAAGTACAAAACACTAGCGATTAAAGCTCAAACCCAAGTAAAGTGCAGTGAATTAGAATGGAATAAGCGACTAAAATATGAGATTATAGTCCACCATCACTCAGCACCCAGATCTAGTTCAGCTGGCTCTTGTGAAGCTTGTATTGCTTCTAAGCTCGTTAAGGGCCTTATCACGATTCTCTTCCATCTAATTTTGTCGCAATGTGATGTTTCTATGTCCATTGAGAGCCTTTCGACAGTATCAGCTAGATTCTTGATATCGAAAGCCATTACTCACAGCCCGAAGAGTTATGCTCTGACCAAATGATGCAGCTGCAATGGAGCAGTACAAATTTGGAAGAGAAAACTAATTTAAAGCTAAAGCTAGAATTAAACTAGGAGAAATTTTCATTGACAACAAACCCTAAAAGCCATTATAATATATAAATGATGAAATCAGAAATAGGATAAGATTGCTAAGCAAGGAACTAGTAGGAGCTCCCTTCCCAGCTATCTTGCCAGTTACCGTATTGATAGAGGATGGAATCTACTAAAAAGACCTAATAGTAATAATAGAAACTTGATAAATAAAAATATTAGGGACTAAAATGCTAATGGCAAAACTTGGACTCTCCTCCTTTAAAACTAACTCCAATGGCTAAGTGCAACTCCAAAAACGAAGGATACCACTTCTCTGTTGCGATACGCATCAAGGAAAAGCCCCAATTAAAGATCCAAAAATAGAAAATTTAGAGACACTTTTTGTGAAGTCAGGTTCCAAGATATAGAAAAATCTATTCAAAACAAAGCAATCACAGACACTCATGTATTCTTGGATCATAACATTGGCCTTCAACCACCACTGGCATCCGTACGATCAGAATCAAGATACCAGATTATGTGAATATCTATCTCATCTAAGGAGAATCTCTCATTGGTTACATGGGCTGATTAGTCCTCTAGAGAGTGAGTTGATAAATAATGTCTCTACGGCAGGTTTGGTGAATTACGTGGTGACTTCGACCCTTAATGTAAATTTCGACTTAGAGTTATCTTCATTCAATATGGCTTGACTCTGTTTCTTATATGCTTCATTTTGCAGAGTACATTGGTTTCTATTGAGCTTATGCAGAGAGTGTTGGAGCATATAATACTATCTCAGAGTATAAGAAAGCCACCGAAAGACTAAAGGCTGAAAATAAAAAGATATCAGGTCATCAGGAAAAATCGATTACTAAAGAGTTAGAGCAGATGGAGGCAAAATTAAAGGAATAGGGAATCTCTTTTGCTAAACAATTTTCTAAAGCAAGCAAAGAAATTTGGAGTCTCAAAGCTGCTCATTCAGAAGGACATATACTCAGGCTAGCTTGTGGAAGAGTATTCTAGGGCCATAAATGATCTCCAAATATTGAGAGATAGAGTAAAATCTCTTAAGATGGCACTTGAAGTTTCGGAAGCTGCTCTTAAAGATTTGAAAACTTAAAATGCAGAGCTATAAGCCAAGAATGAAAAAACGTCTCCAGACTATGAAGATCTCAAGATCTAGTCCGAGATTGATCCGAATTGAATTTTTTTAAAACCCAGTTAAAAACTTAGGAAGAAGCTCATGTCGCAATACCCAATATTAAAAGGAAAATTGAGAAAGCCAAGCTAGCAATAAAGAATGCTCGGTGAGCCATGAATTCATCTATCTTTGAAGGAGATTCGTTAGAGGAAGGGGTGCTTCTTGACCAACAGGATGAGACAGACAAAGAAGAAGACACTGAGCCACATCCTACCTCTCCATTTTCTCAAGCTAATCACCTCCAAACTGCTCTGTCAACTTCCCAATTAGCTAATCTGGATCCTGTCTCCCATGAATCAAATGATTCCTGAGAATATATCTTTTTTTGTGCCTTGTACAGTTTGTCTGGACTTTTTTGCCTTGAAGTATCAATGAAACCTTGCAACTCATATTTTTGAGTTTGAGTATTTCGTACTTTAAAAATAGGCAAAATACATAAACAGGTCTTCAAGTTTTCTCAACGGTTAGCCAGACACCTCAACTGACCCGTTTATCATTTTAATACTTTTTCTCCACTAAAGTACGACTTCGTGAATCCTTCACGCTGACATGGCAAAGTGTGTGCTTTATACTTAATTCTAAGCGCGTGAAATGCTCAAAATTAAGGTTTTTTTCTTTTTTCTTTTAATTTAACTTTATTTTATGTGGATTCCACTGTATTTTATTTTTCATACATTAATTTCACTTTCTTCCCAAAATATTTCATCTTCACCAAACCTCTTCCTTCCGCCATTAATCCACCCCCTCTTCTTCATAAACAATTACTATCAATAGTGGTGTAAAAGCTAACAACAATGGAGCTATGTTCAATTTTTGCAATGTAACCTAGTTCAACAATGGAACCTGGTTGAATTTTGCGTGCCTAAGCAAAAGATAGAAACAATGGAACCTGATTCGTCTTTGCAGTGATCCAAGCAGCTACAAGACCTTTAGGCAAATCGCGAATCTTGCCGAAAATGCCTATTTCCATCATCCCTTCCAAACCCCAAAATTCTGAAACCCTAGCCTTAAATGTGAAAGGCCCCGAATTGCTCGTCTTTGCTTCAAATCAGCAGTTGATACAAAATGGATGAACACAATTATTTTGGTTCTTAAATTTTCTGTTGGGTAACAACATTGGCTCGATACAAATTTCACAGGTAAAATTTTGATGTTCATCTGGTAATTCTGCCACTGCAATTTCTTGTGCTTGGTTTTGTTCTGAATTACTTTGGCCATGTTTTTGCAGTATGTTTCCCATTATTAGTGTGAGTGGTGTGTTTGATTTTATTTTTTTTGCAATTTCCCTCTTCTGCAAAGTAGTTGCTGAAGAAAACTGGAGACGAGGAGGAAGGGCCGGTGGTAATTCATAGAGATGGTGATTAAAGGAGCTTTTTCCATAATTATTGTTCTTCTTTCTTTTTTAAATTATTATTATTGCTTTTTTTGTTTTGTTTTATAATAGGTGGAAAATTTTTTAATTAAAATTACACATGGCATTTTCTCGTTTGTTCGTTTGAAATGGATCCGAGAGTGCATTTCACGCGAGGTGGGCTGATGAGGTCGGGTGTTTAATTGACCTACTTTATTGAAGACTTGAAGTGTCCAACTGAAAATGGGGTCAGTTGAGGTGTCTGGTTAACCGTTGATGACAACTTGAAGGGCCCGTTTATGTATTTCGCCTTAAAAATATTTTTGTCTTTCTCCATTTTCAGAGTTACCATTTCTATTGAACGTTTATACTTAGTCGCATTGACTTAAGTTAATTTCTATTTATTTTTTTCAAAGCAAGAATTTAGAGCCTAAATGTTAAGTATTGGGCTTAAATATAAAAGAGGACTTTTTTATATTTTTCGATACTTGTGGAGATGACATCTCATTTTTATTTAGGCGTAAAATGAGATAACAAACCCGGATGGATATCTAGTCTGAAGGAATATCGATTTCGAATTAGAATCGTGAAAATACACTAAGTAAAATGGGACATACGTACGGATAATATAAGTAATATTCGAAATTCTTATTAATTTGTACAAGACAATTGATCCTTATACAAAGTACGAATAGCAAGTCACTTTAACACACTTGACTAATGGATAATAAAACAAAATACAACGAGTTGTTCGAAAGGCTTTACATTTGATCAAAATGGTCGTTGTAGGACCGAATACAAAGTATGTAAGATATAAATGCTTTTTCGGAATGAACTTGTTCCGATTGCATCACTTCATGTCATCTTGTGCAAAACATTTCCTGAAGTAATTTTTTAACTGATCTTTGGTCTTCGTAATGCATCTTGATAATTTATCTTCACGGCTATATGGTGTAGTCCTCTCCCCCCCCCCCCCCC